TATTCGTATTAATAAAATTTTGTCTCAAAGTATCATGCTGGAGAACTATTAAGAGGAAAAAAAAAAGTTGATATATATTTGAAAATATATCAGAAGAGACTATAAATGCATTAAAGTATTATCAAAGTGTGAAAGGTAATCACGTTGAAAGAACATTTATTTTATTAACTAAGTTCAGTTTAATAAAAGAAAGCATTAATGTGCACATGCATTTTATAAAAAAAATGGTTTAGTTGTAAAATAAAGTAAATATTTGTTAAACAACTCTCAAAAATAGCTTGAGGATTGTTTAACAAAGTATTAAGTTTTGTTAAGTATAGCTAACTTTAAAAAAGATCTCGTAAAAGCTATCAATAAAACTCCGAGAATGTAGTGAAGAAACATACCTGTAATGTAAGCCTTTAAGAGAAAATAAAAATAAAAATTAAAAGTTAAGTTTTCCATCTTAACTGTAGTAGCTCGTGAGCCTTGTGGAATATGGATTTAATAAAAATATAAAAAAGTAAGCCATTAATAGGTAATTTAAACACAAGGTTTTCCTTTTCCACTTTTTAAAATCTTTCATAAAACGTATACGCGTATGCCTGTTACCAAATACGCATTTAAAGTTTTCGCTCAGGACAAAAGTAATTTGTTTTAAAAAACATCTTTAGCTACTCTAAGTACGTATCTTATACGAATTATATATGTATTTTTGCCAACTGGGTAAGTTCTGTTTTTTTTTTTGTTTTTTTTTTTTAATTTTACATTTGTTGGTCGTATTAAAACTATATATTGCCAAAAAAAAAATAATGATAGTAATAATAAACTTTCACAAATACAAAATAAGATATCTGAAAGAAGATCAAAGGATCTTGTCGTCAGAACCTTAAATAAGTTCAAACAAGCATTAACAGTATCAAATTTTTACAAATTTCATATATATATAATCCAAATATATATTATATAATCCAAAGAGAGATCACGCGGATCTACTCACCAATATTTTATATAAACGTATACGTTAAGTAAAGAATATAAAATCAACAAAATAAGTAAGAATAAACTTTTTAGAAATATAAATAAGAAAAGACAAAGTTATTAATTCATATTATTAATAATAACATAATACGTCATCTGATGAAAAAATTAGGGTTTTTAATTTACTTTTAAAAAAACGAAAAGTAATGGGTAGTTCGAAGTCAAAATTGGGCAAAACAATTTTATTCCAAAGGTGTGGTGCCCGATAGGCAATACAAAATTGATTAAAGTTCGTTTGACAGAAAGGTTCATTTAAAAAATCAGTATTTCTCAAATTGTATTTGTTGATGGGTTTCGGAGTAAAAATATCTTTGAAGACAGATTGAGACAAGTCATTTTTCCACATGTATACAAAGCATAAAACATTATATATATTTAGCCCGTATATATTTAAAATTCTCATTTCAATAAAATAATGTTTTGCGTGAGAAAAGCGATTTGCAAAGCAGATTAAACGGGTAGCATGTTTCTGACGGCAATAAAGACGTTGCAACTTACATTTTTCTGTACTACCCCAGGCGATATTAGCATAATTTAAATAACTGTGTATAAATGAATAATAAAGTTTGATTAAAATTTTCTTATTGAGGTAGATTCGTGCTTTATATAAAACTTTTATGTTTTTTGAAATTTTAGTGCTTATGTAGTCGATATGATGATTCCAAGTGATGTTTTCATCAAGATAAACACCTCAAAATTTTGTTACGGAATCCCTTTTTATATCATTTTGATCAATAAAAATTTTAGGTAAGTTTAATGGCAAATACCGTTTTTTGGAAAGCGAATGGAATAAGGTCCACTTTGTTTTATTAGTATTTAGAGTTAACTTATTACATTTAAACCAACTCGATACATGTATAAGCTCTTTGTTCATTGTTTTAAAAAGTTCAAAGATATCACTGTTAGAAAGGAATAAGTTAGTATCATCTGCAAACATAATACTTGTTAGTTTAGAGGCTTTATTAAATCATTAATATAAATTAGGAAAAGGAGTGGACCAAGAATTTTTCTAATAATGGCTACTAGAAGATGTCGAAATTCTCCTGATATGTATTTACTTATATTGGCAAAAAGCAGTATTGCATAAGATTGTGAAAGATAACATATTGTACATAGCGTACGCAAAATGTTTTAGAATGTCAGTGGGTAATAAAGTTAAACTGTAGGCCTTTCATGTGAAAATTAGAACCTGTCAAACTACTCTATCAGTATGGTTAAGAAGTAGAAAGAAAATATTTTTTGCCGTTCCCAGAGTATGGAGAGAATCAAAGAATCATTACATTGATTGCTGCGTTTGTTAATAAACAGAAAAGTACAGAAAAGCTGTACTTCGGGAGACAAGCTCTATAATATCTAGACACACCATTATCTACAGAAACTGTCTCACAGAATGACAGCCTACTAATATCATAGCAACTATAAAATGTAAGTATACTTTGCACCATAGTCCAAAAAGTCCCAAATTTAATTAAATTGAACATTTTAAATCAAACAATTAAATTGAAGTAACTACTATGCATTTATTTTTTAATGATCATGCACATCAGCGACTGTTTATAGATAACTCAAAACGGAGTCTCAAAGCAATATTGCTCCACAATCAAAATAAATATCCTACTTTGGCCCTTGCACACTTGGCACAAAAGAAAGAATACTATAATAATTTCAAAGGATGTTTGGATGATTTTAAATACTTGTTTTTATGTATTTTATATATTTTTATGTATTTTAAATATTTTTATGTATCGGAGTTGAAAAGTATTTAAAAAAATACTTATAGGTTTCATAGAAGTTGTTTTAAAAAATTTGTTTTATGTTTCCGATGCCATCTGGAACAAAGATTAAAGGTAGAACTTTTGTTGGACCCCAAATAAAAGCAAGGTTGGAGTTAGAGAAACTTGAAAGAGCAATGACAAAAGCCAAAAAAGAAGATTAGCGTGCATTTCGTGATTTTGTCCTTGGATTCCAAGGAAATTGTAAAAAACCTTTTTACAAACTTTTTGTTGCAAAGCTGTGAAAAATTCAAGAAACGTTGTTGTCGTATTTCCATTAAGATTCATATGTTGTAGTCAATCTAAGACTTTTCCCTCAAAAGAATGGGTGATGTTAGTGACAAGCGTTTTAAGAGGTTCATCATCAGGACATTTCAAAAATGGAAAGTAGATATCATGGAAGATGAAGTACTGCTATGATGGGAGATCGTATATGGTCTCTAGTCAAATAAGATGAAAGTATGTTTTCAAATTAGTTGCAATCATCAAAGCACTTCTAATCTTGAGTAAAGAGTTTACAGTAAAGTAAACTCTAAGTTTAAAAACAAGTTAAGAATGCTATTGCTTCTTTTTATTTTTACAATTAATATACTTCCTAAAAACCATTAAATATATGAAAAAGTGCTGTATGTTATTTTTACATTACTAAAATTATTATTTTACATATGTTATCTTTACATTACTAGAATACAAACATACTGATTAAGAGAAAATTTGGACTTGAAATTAAGCATAAATATCAAAACGAAGCATAAATGTCAAAACATGAATAAAGAATAAATATCAAAACGAAGCATAAATGTCATAACATAAATAAAGCATAAATATCAAAACGAAGTATTAATGTCAAAACGAATGTTACGTTAAATTATCGATATTACGTTAAAACGAATGTGATTTTTGAATTCAATGGCAAAACATACATAAATAAAGATTGAGTAAAGCCGGTAAGACCTGTGTTCTGATCTTCAATCAGAAATATGGCCAAAACTTATATTTTTGATTAAATATTCTTACATAACACAGAAAAAAGTGGTGAATTCAATTCAATTTTTTCACATTTAAAGTATTATTAAAGAAGTTTTTGAGGTTATTTATATTGAAAGAAATACAGGCCATACTTTATACAATTTGACAAAATTGTATAAAATATGAAGAAATGGTTGTTAAATTATAGATTAGAATCCAATAATCTTCAAAATTGTTTGGTTAAGGCCATTTTGATAGATAAAAAATTAGCTTATTATTTGATAATAAATTACATTATAGATATTTTCAAAATATTACTTGGATCTTGTTAGATAGTGTTTCTGTAAGATAGCAACGCTAATAAATTTATTTGTTACACAAATAAATAATTAAATATATAAAACGTAATGGATCAATATTTCACCAAAGAGAGAGCAACTGCCGAATAGGTAACTTCAATACAGCTATTTTCTTCTCCTGCTTACTTATCAAGTAAAATTAGGTTTAAGATTGGCTTTTTATTAAAATTTTCAAAGATTAGAATTTAAGGCTAAAAAGAATTTGAAAATGTTTTTCTGAGTTTAAACATTTTTTTGGGTAGCATAACTGTGCGGAATACCTGAGCTAAAGTACTCGTCTTTTTTGATTGAAATTTTGAGATGAAAAAAGCAGGTTTTAACATTTTTATTAAAATAGGTTTTTAATTAATTTTTTTAAAAATATTTATTTCTTAAAAACATGTTTTTAAGGTTTTACCCTCAGAAAAAAAGCAGAAACAAACCCATTAGATATTATGGATTAAAGGTAGAGAATGGAGGTAATCACCTTTCACCATAAAAACTTGCTGGTTGATTGATTAGGAATTTTTGGTAAAAACTCCGCAGAAAGCAAATCAAACTAATAAAATATAACAATGAACGTCAAGCAATATTCGATATGAAAACTACAAATATATACTGAATATCTAAATACATTTTTATATACAATAAAATTCTTTTAATATAGTGAATTTTCGTTTTTCTTATGTTTTAAATCTTATAAATATATATATTAAAATACAAAATAAATAATTTTCTATTTAAAAAACAGAATATATAAAAAATAAAAATATAATTTCTGAATCTTGCAAGAAACTAGATTTGAATTACTTTATGAAATTAAAAAAGAAAATTGATTTGATTTAAATAATTATTTAAATAAAATTAAAAAAAAATTATTTAAATAATGTTAAATAATTTATATCTCTAAAAATTGAGAAAAAATAAAGTTAATAAATAAATAGACCAAAAAATCCTTTTTAGCTATGTCTGAAAAGGTAATTCATGCGTTTGAAATAGACCAGGATCAAATGCACGAAATACGGAGGGTCCGTTAATAAGATACCTAATTTAAAACAATGAATGAAATTAAAAAGAGCTGTAAATTTAACATTAAGAAAACTAAAAGTGAAAATTTCTCACCTTTCATATAAATCTGCATCTTTGTTTTCTTCTTCTGAAAGCGATGTATTAAAACCACCGGCCTGATCAAAATCTGCTCGATACTGACATGATATTTTATAGTGATTCGCACTCCAAAAACCATTGTATTTAGAACTAGATTTAAAAGCATTTTGAAATAAAGGCAGTTGATTAACAAGAATAGCAACCATTGGATAATATACCTGCTCACCCAACTTGGTGTTGGTTTTACAACGTATTAAAAAATCTTCAGTAAATTTCACCTCAACATCAAAAAAAACAAGTAATGCACTTTTATTGTAACTTAAAGCACCCGTTGATAATCCTAAAGAGCGTGAAAAAGAAACGTTCAGTTCTATCCAGTGCAAAATAGAATGAGGATACTTGACTTTAATACTAGTAAAATACTGTATATGGTTCTTAGATGCTGTGACTTTACTAAAATAGACAACAGTGAGCGAGGTATCAAGCCTGCGTTGTAAACACAACTTTTCATAAAGCAACATAAAATTTACAAAAGAAGCAAACTGACCATCTAGCGGTAAAATAAAATGAAGAACACCTTTTAAAGCATTTTTTATATGGTCAATTGAATAAATAGCATTCCCAAATGGTCGTTGCAAATAGATGTGGCGCTCTATGTGAATATTTAGTTTTTGATTGTTCAAACCCAAAGGAGCATGGTAATTCATAAGAATGTTTAGTTTATACTGTGCACCATACTTGGGATGATGACGATGATAACCATAGTTTAATCGCTTAAAAACCAGCATTTGTTGCAATCTTTCACGAGCTTCTTTATTAAGAATGATCATCATTTGACGCAAGACTTCATTTGTGCTTTGTTTATATGGACCGGACAGCGTCTTTTTTGTCTTATCACACGAATAAACCTTAAAATACAAAATCTTATATATTTATAACATTTAAAGAATATAAATTTGTTAAAATATAGCTATAACTAATATATGAAACTAATTAATAACATTTTACAATTTATAAATTTGATAATATACAATTCAAACAGTGTAGAACAAATTTATGTATGTACGTATATATTATTAATGTATATATATATATATAACTATGTATGCATATAATATATAATTATGTATATATATATAATTTATGTATAATTATGTATATATTATTAATGTATGTATATATAATTATGTATGTATATAATATAATTATGCATATATATATATAATTAATGTATAATTATGTATATATATATATATATATAATTAATGTATAATTATGTATATATCTTATACTGCTGAGTTAGGTGAGCATGATGATGTCATACTCACCTAATGTCAAATAGCCTGCTGCCGGGGGCTTCAGTACATACATCGACTGACAAATAGCCTGACTCGCCGTGGAGTGCTGCTACATCGACTGAGGGTTTGGTATGGGTCAGCAACATTTTCATTCATTATTCTTCGTTTTCCCTCATCGTTTTCTAAAAATGCTCACTTAATTTAGGCTAGCAAAAAAAGTGAGCAATTGCGCATATAAATATGCTATAGTATATATATATATATATATATATATATATATATATATATATATATATATATATATATATATATATATATATATATATATATATATATAATTATGTATAAATATATAAATAATGTATGTATATACAATTATGTATGTAATATAATATATAATTATATATATATATATAACTAATGTATAATTATGTATATATATTTAATATAATTATGTATAAATATATAAATAATGTATGTATATATAATTATGTATGTATATAATATGTATTTAATAAAATATATAATTATGTATGTATATATATATATATATATATATATATATACATATATATATATATATATATATATATATATATATATATATATATATATATATATATATATATATATATATATATATATATATATATATATATATATATATATATATATATAATTAATGTATAATTATGTATATATATAATATAATTATGTATAAATATATAAATAATGTATGTATATATAATTATGTATGTATATAATATGTATGTAATATAATATATAATTATGTATGTATATATATTTAATAAAAGCGTTTTTAGAGTAACAAAAGATAAAATTTTATGCCATTAAGAAATAAATAGAATTTTTTCATGTTTGCATTTCATGCATTTTCTTTAAAGCATGCATGAAATGCAAACATACCAAGAATAAATTGTACAGTTCAGCAACAAAAATGTATTTTATAACATTATACAAAAGCAGTTTTATGCAGAATACTGAGAGAAAATAAATCTTTTGAAGCAATCTGATATTTACCAATTAACAAAAGGGAATGAATTAGAGATATGCAAAAAAAAATGTCTGTACACATCTTCAAACAAATAAAATTATAAGTGAGAAAATTATGAGTGAAAAAGTTGTTAGTGGTAAAGGATTTGGAAGCAGAAAAAATGGGATGAATAATAAAGTCACAGATACCTTGCAAATCATTACCACTTAGCCATGCCATAATGATCAAGAATTATGAAAAAAGCTGTTGCTGCAGTTTTGCACCATTTTAATGAATACAACAATCTAATAACACAGTCAGATCTTTATGTAAATTTTAGAAATGAAAATGTCAACATTTACAAGTATAACATCATAAAACCACTATTGTTTTCAAAAGACCTCAACTGTAATATAATTGAAAAAAAAGTTCCACCATAGTAAAGTTCAAGACATGAAAAAAAAAGTGAAAAAAAGTGAATTGAAATAAGCTTATGTTGGAAACAGTGCTTATAAGATATCTGTAGCTTTTGCTGTTATTATTTAAATTAATGGTGCTATTGTGTTTACTGAAAACAGGTGTAGATTGTGGCAGAAGTCAAACATAGTATTAGAATCTCAAAATACTAGTAATCTACGAATTACTAAAAGTTTACTTTATGATTGACTGAAAGATTCCTCTATGACTGACTGAAAACTTTATGTTTTTTGGTTTATATTAAAACAAAACACAAAATATTTTTTTTTAAATTAGCACATTTTAACCTCATTAATGTTAAAAATGTATAAAATTAAAATAAAATTTAAAAAATCTTAATTCACATAGCTAAAAATTTAAAAGCAAACATGTTCAAATTGAAAAATATAAATACAATTCTCTTTTATAGATAACATTATAAAAAAGTAAAGAACTTATGTCCAACTTTTTAAACAGTTCTAAAAATATTTTAACCAATTATTTAATGGGATTACTAAATGCTGAGACAAGCTGTGTTCATGCCTTAAATAAACCTTAGAAAATGATTTTAAAGTTTAAACGTTTTTAAACTTTACATACAAAATATTTCATTATTTTAAATGCCATATAGAGCACACACCACATTAGGAAGAAATGTGTTGTTCAATTCCTGCTATGTCCCTGTTAGTAATGTGCTTAATTATTTGTGGAGCAGCCTGGATTGTCAAGGCTTGTGTTTGTGAGTAACAAAGCTGAGAGACGGTTGCAACAACAATTAGAAGAAAAAAAGATATTAACAAAAAAATAAATTTTTTTTAACCATATTGCTTATAGGAAATTTCTGGATAGTTGATTATTTTTTTATCAGAAATAATGATGTTTTGATTAGATTTGCAGTCATAATGATGTTATGGTTAGATTTGCAGTCAAAATGATGTTATGGTTAGATTTGCAGTCTTAATGTATTTAAAAATGCAATGTTTTGGATTTCAGTCATAATGTATTTAAAAATGTAATGTTTTGGATTTGCAGTCATAATGAGTTATAATGATAATCAAAATATTTTGTCTATTTTTTATATAGTATAGAAATTATTTAAATAAATATTTACAACTCTTTTATGTAAAATAAATATTCTATAAATGGAAAAATTTCATAAGTTGAACAGGTTGTTTAAAACCATAAACAATTTTTTATTTTTGAGATTTAGTGAAAAAAATAAAATTTTATTCACTGATTGTTAGTGAAAACAAAATACTGAGTACGTTTTTTTTAAAAGCCTAATATATACTAGATTTTTTATTTTTTTAAAACTCTTGATTGATATTATAAACTTTAACATCATAAGTTGCAGCATAAACATTTATTAAACTCACTTCCTTGTGCACAAATTAAATTTGTGTACAATTTAAATTGTTTAAGAAACTTTTATGGTAAATCATAAGCTTTTATTGTGAATCATAAGCAAACCTATTCATTCAACTTTTACTTAAGGTTAATAACTTTCGAAGTGATTTTAATGCACGGGCGGATCTGGGGTGTCACCACTGATGCGCGTGCATCAATTTTTTTGTTTTGATAAATTTAATTTTTCTCTTTTTTAATTTTTTTTTTAATAAAAGGTATTTTTTAAAAATTTTTCATTTTTTTAAACAAAAAATAAAAAAGTTGTTTTGAGTAGTTGTAATAGTAGTAGTAGTAGATGCTGCAGCCACCCGAAGACAACGAATGTGTGTATTAATAACACACTTAGACAGCCATCTCAGTATTAATTTAATTTAAAAGGAGCCAATAGTCTAATTGTGCTTTAAAACTGTTTACTGATTTTGAATTAACCACTTCTCTTGATAGTTTATTCCATGTTTTTTTTATTCTGTTAGTAAAGAATGAGTGTCTTAAGTTGCACTTTATTTTTTCGTGTTCAAACCTGACGCCGTTTCCTCTCGATAATTGAAAATCATTTGGCTTGAAACTGTTTATAAAGTCCAAATTTTCAATCTTGTTTAATAACTTATAAATCTGGATCAAATCTCCATGAATTCTGCGTTTATAAAATGGGGTGAGGCCAACAATATCAAGCCTTTTCACGTATTTCATTTTTGCCAGAGTCGGATTGATGCACTGTGTTAAACTTTCTTGAGCATTTCTATTTCTCCTTTAAGCTAAGGGGACCACACTGGAACTGCGAATTTAACTTCAAAAAGATTTAACTGCGCCTAAATCTTTTTGAAGAGTGGTTTGTCCAAGGACAGCATTATCCATAGAATAATCATGTTTTGGATTTTTACTGCCATAGTATATTATTTCGCATTATTTCTTATTATTTCTTTATTGAATCTCACTAACCATTGAACTTGTAAAAAATTATTTAATCCTAACTCGATTTTCTTTAACCTCTGTAGTTACTTATTCATTACTTAAACAAAATTTCCTGTGTTTTAGAGCAACTGATGTAATTATTCTTCATTAAATGCAGATGTGATTGGTTAAAGAAAAAATATTGTACGCTTTAACCAATTTTATTGCACATTTTTACAAATTTTTCTGATCACTTAGTAGCAAGTGATGAAATTGTACTCTAAATCATAAATGATTGATTAAAAAAATATTTAAAATGAATCACTATTTAATAAAATAACAATTGCGACAGTTGCTACAAACCCTCTGCAAAAGAATACAAAAATATTTCAAAAAAGATAAAAAAATGTTTGTAAGAAATCAATCAATTTTGTTGAAAGTTTAGAATAACTGCATCAGTTGCTTCAAATTGTTCAAAATTTACAAAATTCTGATGTCACCTGATACTTTGCTCATAAAATTTGTCATAAGACTTTGCTAGTAAATAAAAGTTTTGAGAAAAAGATGAACTTTTTAGTCTCAAATGCAATTAAGGCTATATATTTGCAAAATATTAGCAAATATAAAAATCAATTAACTGAAGAGTTGAAAATTTTAAATAAAAAGTGCCCAGTGCAGCCATATAGTCAGTCTTTTGAAAGTTCTGAAATGGATTGTTTTATTGCGAAGCAAGAAGATATTAAAAATTATGGTGCTTAAAGGTAAAACCCTATTACTAAAATTATAAGTGATATATATTTCCAGCTAGATAATAATATCAACTGATCTTGTTTATTTTTTACACTAGTCTGAAAACTGAAAC